ATCTGGGAAAAATCGTATCCTCTCTGAAATGCTTTTGATGAAGACTCAAGAGAGTAAGCTAATGTTTATTCTGCTAAAAAATTTCTAACTAGCAGAACTACTTAGAAGTTACTGCTCTTTCTCTCTTAGTTTTCTTCACCCAGTTAATTTAAAACACAAGAAGGTTAGAAACTAACTGTAATGCCTAATCGATGCGTTAGACAAAACACGAGCTTCTAGCAATAATCTGTAAAGTAACTGAAAACTAAGTGGCATAAAATAATTATTTATTGTAAATATTTTAAGTTACATATTTAAAAATTCCACAAAAAAAAAGCTATAGCTTTTTCAATAGTACCATACAAACACAGCAGAAGGTAGTTTTCCAAATGCTATCAGGTCAAATTTTGTCCTAATTCAGCTTTTGGTTAATAAAGCTTCTTGCAAAACATGAATTCATGAGAAATGCACATTTAAAACAAAACTTTTATTTAGATAGCAAATCCAAAAATGTCTGCACCTTACCCAGGCAGTCCACTAGTCAATAAAACACAGTTAATGAAACAAACCAAAAGCAACAAAAATCCCAAAGCAACCTTCCTACACTAGTGGGGGGGGGAGGGGTGTGCTAAAAAAAAAAAAAAATTATCTGAAATAAATTTTTCAATTATCGTAAGTACAAGACTATCTGTTCAGACATTAACTACATTTGTGCTTTAAATAACTTCTGAATGGAAACTACAAACCACAGTGATTAAGAGACCAAAAAAAAAGAACTCAAATCAACATATTAACAGGAAGAAGGGGTTACATTGTTGGCAAAGCTAAGTATGGTAGATGTAATTTAAATTAAAACCTGCTAAGTAAGTTTTAAAAGATTTGCTTTGTTGCAACTGTTCCATTAAGTCTCTTTCCTCTCCTACAAATATCTCTTATTTTCTCATCAGTATGTCTATACAGGCTGTCTGGGGGATCTGATAATCAGCAATTTTTGTCATATGAAAAGACTGTGAAACACAACTTCAAAAATTCATTTAAGCATTACATTTTCTTTCATGACAAAGTAAAAAAAAAAAAGTATAGTAGTATATATGTAATAGTATAATAGTACAATTTTCATTTACAGGAACATTCACCTTTATTGAAGATGTCTGCTGCTGATCATGCTAACCTGAGGTCAAAATGACAACTATTTCTGTATCTAAGGAGTTTCAGCGAAACTTCATCTCACTGAAGTCAACTGGAGGTTCAAAGGATCAATGAGTTTCCTTATGAAAGGAAACATATGGAAGAACTGATTGCAAGACTGGACTCTGAAACAGCTGGGTAGTATGAGTATTTGCTCCACAGCTATCCAGAGGGAAGAATGAACTTTACATGAAGTCATATAGTTTCAATTCTCCATTCTTAAACAAAATATGGCTGTATGCTGACCTGAAAGAAGTGAGGCCTGCAGCAGTCCACAAACACAGTCTCTGCTGACGTTTATCAGCAAAACTGTCAGTAACTGACACTTTACATTCCAATTACAAGTAAAGTGAGATTCCAATTCCAGGTAAACTGATTTAAATCTAAGATTATTCCACTGATTTGCAAATGGTTGTCTTTTCAAGCGTGACTCAAAACATTCTTCTGTAATATTACTGGTGCCATCATTTCTGGGACAGAACCAAGTGAATTTGTAACATTCCAGAGGAAAACAGTACAACTTGCCATTCTAAGTCATCACTGAAACTCATTCCTGACAGGAGGAGAACAGAAAGTCTGTATTTGTTTAGCCTACGAAACAATTGCCACTGGGAAGTTGATAAACTTTCAAATGGTCCTTAACCAGCATGCTGGGTGGCCAAAAATTTTATAGAGGTTATTTATGAGGTATGATGGTTGTTAGGGGTTACAAATATTTTCACACCTTAAATAGATGTATATAACAAACTGAATCCCAATGCTTTAGAACTTCCAGGATAATATGCCAAGAAAACAATTTTCCACACAAGTGTCCAAAAACTTCACAAAGAACCAAGTAGGCACTCCTTTTACTTACACAAAACCCATGATCTAAAACAGAAGCATCCGCCTATAATCAAAGTCTTTACACAAATTGAGATTACACAAACTTTAAGGCATGCCAAGTGTTGTGGCAGTGCTTTGGGCAGTGTTCTTTTAAGTAACTGTATAGAAATCTGCATACTCAAACTCACTCACTAAACTCCAAAAACAGCTGGGCTCTGAACTATCTCAGACTTGCCAAAGCATTTACTCCAGTGTCCTTGCGTTAAACTGAGCTGGAAATCTCATAGTGGAAAAACACCAGAACCCTCCTCTCTGTGAAAAAAATGAAAGTATCTTTTAATTTCAGAGCATGAAATGTGGGTGCAAGATAAAGCAAAGATACAACTATCTCTCTCCACAGACAACGAGAAACTAAATGTTAAAATGCATTGCAACATATAAACAAAACACGCCTAAATCTCCCAGTGGGGAGAGGAAAAAAAACCCAAGAAAAAAATCCCTCATTAACTGAGATCTAGCCTGCAAAATTACGAATAACAGAACCCACATGATACATTTATTGTTAATCCTTGAGAATAGAGGCCTAATTACATGTTATCTAAAAGACAGAAAATGCCACTCTCCTAAATTAGTTCTAACTTTCTCTTTAAAAAAGCCTGGGATGAACGCTTTATTACTTTCAACCCTTAAAAAAATTTAAGTCTCAAACTAGTTATATACTATAATGCCATTGTGTTTATTGCTGCCATCCTCGGAAGAAGAAAAAAAAAAAAATCTGCAAAAACGTTTTCCGAGCCAAGTTTCCTTTAAATAGCAGAATCAAGAGTACCAAGCACTAGGCCCCTGCAGTGCCACACAGACAGCTCCTGTTTGACTGCTACGTAAGCTTGGTCATGCTCGTTAAGTGTGGTCCAGGGCCATGTTTACTGAGATCACCCTCCCGAGTAGGCAAGTCCCCTGCACGGCAGCAGTTTCCAATCTCATTTCCTCTCACGATAAGCCTGGGAGTGCAACTGAGAAAGATCTTTCACCAACTGCCATCTTTCTAGTAAGTCCAGAAGGAGCAATGAAAACCAGAAAGGCAGACGGTCCAACCACCCTTTCCGGGGCCA